ATAACTAAAAGAATTCTACAAAAAATTTTGTTTGGAGGCTAAACAAAGAAATCTCATGTGATATCTTTGGTAGATTGACGTGAAACTTATGAAGCTCCTTGATAATTGAGAGTAATCATAGATACGGGTCCACCATAAGAGAAGGATCCGATGCAAGTATATAAGGGAACTTCCTACCTAAGCTTTTATACGAATCTCAAGTGTATCTCAATTTTCGGATTTAGGGTTTAGCTATTTTGGAGTTTGGCCATCATTAGATATGGCCGTATGGTGAAATAGTTACGGAATGGGAAACCTTATATTAGGAGATATAACTAAAAGAATTCTACAAAATCTTTTGTAGGCAGCGAAACAAAGAAATCACATGTGAAATCTTTTGTAGATTGACGTGAAAGTACTGAAAATTACATTGCACACCTAATGGGGAAATTATTTGTGTAGTGTCGCTTATGTTTGATGTGCGATAGTAGATGTTTATTTCACATGTTAGTCCCCAAACACTAGTAGTGTGTGCATATAGAAATCGTTTAATCTGGATTCCACTTTTCTCTTGGTTGTTATTTTTCTCGAGCCAAATACGCTATTGAGTCTATTTTTCTCAAGCAAGACTTATTGATAACAATATCACATTCCCGTTGAGACTAAATGCTAAACTTGATGACAAGGATGATGAAACTCGAAACTCGAGACGTGATTCGAACATACATAAATCTGGATGATGTGATGATAGATGCGAAGTATTTGTATGTCGAGAACTTCAATTGTAAAGCTCTAATGTTAGATTAGATATGATGATTAAGATATGAAACGCTTGTCCTAGAGCAATAAGACACACTCACATGTCCCCCTGTCTAAAGTGAATGAAAGCAAAGCTTTCGGGGGACCCAATAGGGGATTGCTTGGATTTCACACCTTCACAGACATCATGAAGACCTATTTACGACGGAGGACCACAAACTTGTCGGCCCGTGTGTTTCAGTGTGCTTTCGTCTCATTATCTTCTCACAAATTACTTCTCTCTCCCCGTGATCTTCTTATATTCGTGATCTGCTTTGCACATCAGAATCTATGTCGTGTCATCACTGAATTTAGCTTTATCTCGTGAAGGATTCCCTGATGTTGAACCCAGACAAAGAAAAAAAGAGGCGGGAAAACTATAGATTTTCCATACACATGGGAAATCGTCGAATGAGATGTCCACCGTTCCGGGTTCATCTAAGACCACGACGCATTTATGGGACGTGGTCTCGCGAAGACTTTGGATTTGTTGGCCTAAGCTGAGAAGAAGATCCTAATGTATGAATTTTGAGGTGAAGACAAAAAGAGGTGGAGATGGGAATGAAATGATGAGTTGCCCCCCCTTTTATCACACCTTGATAATGGAACGCATTGGTGGTTAGGAAGAAAGAGTGAGGACACAAACACTCACGCACACAAACTCCAACGGCAAATTGTCTGTGCTGCTGCCTCTTCATGCTCGATTGAAGAAACTTCATCATTTCGGTCCCCCTCGAATTGGTGGCCAATCATGCCCAGTGATTACCAACCGGCAATCATCTCAGCCCCTCGGCGTATGGTTTACTTCATCTCCTTCCCGCTTCTTCCTCTCCCACTCAAGCAAAGCCTCTGCATAGATCTTACCTGATTACTGGATGTCACCTACTCGACAGAAAGAAGCACGCGATGTTTGTGCAGTGGACATGCTGAATCCCAGTACGTAAATTCCAAACGAAAGTCAACGCGACACGGCTTTTGGGGGCCTTGGACCACGTCCGGTCGAGGCCCGGTGGTCGACCTTCGTTTCGGGCCTAATGGGCCGGACGGACAAATACCTCTCGAGAGGAATATTCCTGGGCGGCCGGCCCATGCTCGAAGGTAGTGCGCCGTGCATCGCCTTCGGTCGTGGTGGTCGGAGCTGGCGTTGACTTCTTTGGCCCATTTTCAAAACCATTTGATTACTTTCTGGTTCTTCTCTTTTATTATTTTAAGCCGAGGAATTGTGCAGACGAGAAGTTTGACGGGTGTTCTCGTGCCTGCCTCGCGTGGAACCCTGTTGGCGTTTCCTGAGACATCCCTCTCATCATCTTCTTCTTAGGATTCAGGAGCTCTCTGCATTTTTATATATTCCCTTACGTTCGCAGCCATTTTTCTGCACTTGGATCTGAATTGGAAGGCTCGAGCCTTCCGGTTCGCGAATGGAGCGCTCAAACCCGAGTAACAAAGACGGGCGCGCGTGGTCAATGAAGATAGACTTAAAATAACCGAGTGAGAAAGCCTTAGAGTTCACGGCACGATCCGTTTTTTTTGTTCCGTGAAAAAGCACGAAAGCCACGACATTTTTAATTATTATGTTGACCCGATAAGTAACTCGGAGCGATGTTTGACGAGAGCCCTCTGATTGTTTAGCTGTCAATCAATCGGGCGATTTTGCAGTGGGGTTCATTTCAAGCATGTACTTGATAGCTAAACAAAATTGCGACCTAAGTTGAGTTTCAGACCAATTTGCAGTGTTGATTGGTTTTGACCCGAGAGAAAACAACGTGGCCTAACTTGTCTCTAACGTTCACGTCTTCGTCGAATTTGCTTTTACCAAAAGAGAGTACCACCAGGTGGTCCTAATTCTGTCCGATTCCAGCAAAAATTGCTCTCCACATGCGATCAGCGTGCAAGTGCTAAGGAATGTGGTAATTATTTTTTAACCTCGTGTTAGGTAACGCGGTGAATTTTTTAAACTGGCTTGGGACAAAAGGCGCGGTCGGAGGATCTACGCCGCCTCGGAGAAGCCGCCACGAGTCAACTGCTCCAACCTTCACCCTCCCTCTCTTTTCCTTTCCCTCTACCCTCTTCCTTTCTTTCGTGACTTTACATTATAAAAGCCATTTAAAATTAGCAGTGAGAGTATTTGTTTGAAGGAAAATGTTTTTCGGAAATTCATTCTCCGGACTTTCACCCGTTTGGTTTGCTTAAAATGATAAATCAAATGAAAATGTTTTCCGATCAAGGAAAACATTCATGTATAAAATTAGGAAAGTGAATTTCCTAATCTAAGAAGGTGAAAATACTTTTCAAAAGTATTCGTCTTGCATTTGTTAAAATTTTTCTTTTCTCTTCTTTCTTTTTTTTATTTTTCTTTTCTTTTTCCTTCTTCCTCCCTCCACCGGTCGTCGGCCTTTCTTTTTCCAAAAATAAAAATAATTTTAAAAATATTAAAATTTTCGATAATTTTAACCATTAGATTTTCCTCACCAAACAACTAAAAATACTTTCAAGTCTTTTTAAGATTTTAGCCAAATACCAAAAAACGAACTCATTTTTCTGAAAAATGACTTATTGAAAAGTGTTTTTAAAATATGGTACATTTTCCGTATAAACAAACGCACTTTAAATCGTGCAGTTTTCGCCCGTTTCTGCTTTTGACTTTAATTAGCTAGCAGCCATTTTATTTTTATTTTTTATCTTTTTTTTTGGTCGAAATTCTTTATTTTTTATCTTAAGGGGCTAAATTACTGTGCTAGTGGGTTCGGGCAACCGTGATGTCAGGCTGACGTGTGCAAATGGGAAAGCGCGCCTCATCTTTCAACCGCGAGCGAAGCACAAAAATGTGGAAAATGAAAAATTTTGAGAAGAATCGACGAATTTGCACGCTTCATTTTGTTTCGAGAAAAAAAATAGCAGTTTAAAAAATGATCGCTTTCATCACTTATAAAAATTAATAAATTAAAAATATTTTCATCATTCACGATAATTTGACATAAATTATCGTCGGTGGTGAAAACTTTTTTCATCCAATAGTTATTTCAAGCGACACTGAACATCATTTTGAATTACTCCCTATCGATAAGGAGGAATTGGAGCCCCACTTCTCCCGCGTATTTATTTGTAGTTTAAGTTTAGACCCATGAATAATTACTTTGCTCGTCTATGAATTGTAATTAAAAATGCGGGGGTGTTAAATTATACCGGAATCCTCTACTGGATGTAGCTCTCGTTTGACCGGTGAGTTGAGATAAATTCTGTATCTCGATTTCTCTTTCTTGCTTTTACTTTCTATTTCCATGTGTTTGTATGCCTAATCCTAACAGTTATTTCGTGTCTAATAAAGGAAAAAAGAAAAGGCGTACCTCAAAATTAATCAAATCAAAAATGTATTCCCCATCCGTGTGGGAGTGAGACTCTCCCCCACCACCTCCTCTTCCGGTCCTCGCCCCGCCGCCCCCGCGTTGAAAGTTCAACATGCGCCTATGCCCCATAATTAAACAAATAAAAATAATAATTCAAACATCGAAAATAAAAAAAGAAAGAGTTTTTTTTTTGGTAAAATCCCAAAATAGTATATTTGTAATAAATTTACCTCAAATTATTTTTTTATCACCAAAAATCCCACACTGGTACACCTGTAACAATTTTATCCCGACCTAATTTTTTTAACACAAAAAACTCCAAACTGGTACACCTATGACGAATTTACACTCCGTTAATTTTCATTAAATTTTATTGTCAAATTGCTAAGTTTAATGATACGTGGTAGTTGACAGGTGTACCGATTTGGGGTTTTACTCCTCTGTTTGTCACAAGTTTACCAATTTGTGATTTTTCGTGATATTAATCCAATTTAACGGACACTAACGGAGAGTAAATTTGTCATAAATATACCAGTTTGAGATTTTTAGTGGTCAAAAAATTAGTTCAGGGCAATATTGTCACAGGTGTATAAGTTTGGAGTTTTTGGTGGTCAAAAAATTAGTTCATAGTAAAATTGTCATAAGTGTACTGGTTTGGGGTTTTTAGTGATAAAAAAAATAGTTCGGAGTAAATTTATCACATGTGTATCAGTTTGTGATTTTTTGTGGTAAAAAAAATAATTTGGGGTAAAATTGTTATAGGTGTACCAGTTTTGGGTTTTTCGTGGTATTAACTCAAAAAAGAAAAGAGGAAAAAGGAGGAGAAAACTTATACGTATGTATGTATATACATACGGAAAAAGGATCTCTGGGCATATTCCTTCCCGCTGCAATTTTTTCCTTTCCTGCGGTCCCAACTCCCAAGAACGGGAAAATATGCCGCCCTCCTCCACCCGTCTCCCCGTTTCCATCAGGTCTCCCCGAAAGTCAAGCTCAAGCCCCGCTCCTCCTCCAGCCTCCTCCAGCTTCCTCCTCCTCCTCCTCCTCCCTCCTTTCGGCGGCTCCTTTCCCCATCAGCCTCGCCCCGAATCTCGCTCCCCCGGCCGCGCATGACCTGCCCGGAGACCGGGCCCGACGCCGGATTCCGCAGCAGCAATGGAGCTCCTGAGACCGTTCCACCCCCACCACGGCCTCGCCGGAGACCCCCTCGGCCGTTTCCCGTCGCCGGAGCGCTACCGCCTCGGGCCGGACCGGTCGGCGGGCGCGGCCAGCTCGTCCGGGATGGCCGGGGGCGGCGAGAGGGTGCACGTGGCGGTCGGCAAGTCGGTGGAGAAGGCGATCGGCTTGATAAAGTGGAGCCTGGAGCGATTCCCCGGCGCGGAGATTTGTGTCGTCCACGTTCACCAGCCTTCGCCGGTGATTCCGACTCTCTGTAAGTCGTAGCCTCGCCCCCGCGCGCGCGCGCGCGCGCAAGCAAGCGAATTCCCGCGGTTCCTTGTTAGCTTCGGTTTTCTTCTAGTTTGTGCTGCGTGTTTGATCGCTTACAGGTCCGCAGTGCCGTGTTGTTTTTAATTGCGAAAAGGAGATACTCGTAGTTTTGTGTCTTTCTAGACATAGGTGTTTCCTCCGGCGAGAGCAATGGTGCTTTAGCTTAGTTTCTCTCTAGGAGTTCAGATTCGTCCGATAATTCATGTTTATGAACTTGTTGATTGACTGACACTAGTCATAGACATCTCTTTTACTGGAGCTTTTAGGACTTCAAGTAGCATTTGATTTGGATGATGATATAAGAATTTATTCTGTGTTGCTGTCGAGGTGAAACCTGAGATCCGATTTTCCCCTGCTTTTCCTCATTTTTCCTGAGGAGCTAACTCGCTCACGATGTAATCCTCGGGGATTGTGTGCAGTGGGAAGATTACCTGCCAGTCAAGCTAGCGTCGAGGTGCTTTCTGCCTATAGAAGGGAGGAAAAGGAGCAGACAAGGAAACTCTTGCGACATTACTTGACCTTCTGCTCTGCTTCTAAGGTATGGGTATGCCGATCGCTGTTGCGCTGTGCAACTGCCAAATCTTCATCTTGATTATGTTAAGCTTTTATCATACGGAATGATGAATGTCCTGGAATATATGTTAATTCGGAAGCGATTTGTCCGCTTGTCTACTTACTGGATTGTAGAGCTTTCGCCCGTGTACGGTTTTTTCTTCTTTAAATCGTAAATGTGTCGCAACTACGTTCTTTTATTGGTGGGTGCTAACACGTAATCCATTTGTTGACTACCCTATATTTTCTCGACTTAAGCGATTGACATCCATTTAATTTTAGCGATCTAGTTAAATGGCCATGCCTCCAGACCAGCACCACACCCCTGGCAGGAACTCATGGTTTTTGTTGCCACGCCTTCTAGATTGTTATCTGTGTAGTTGTGATCTTGCGAGCTTTCTTTTGGAGATCATTCTTATTGATAAATCTAAGTCCTAGCGACAGCAAATGATTTTTCTGGTCACAATCCAAGTTCACATTTCTTCATTTGATTGGGTTTGCCTGATTTCAGTATATGAGGATATTTCCTTTATTGCTGATTTCCCTGGAGTAATCTTTTGGACTTGTAGATTTGGAGAAGCTAGAAAGTTTTGTATTTTTTTTTTTTTTTTGGTCGTGGAGAAGCTAGAAAGTTAAATGGCATCTTTATGCTTATCAATGGTGCGTTTAATTGCTTGATGGGATATTTCAGCTTCAGCCATCTGTGATACGTTCTCCTTGTGTAAATCTAGCAAAACATCCAGTCTGAACATGAGGTATCTGAGAGCCTTAAGAAATATGGAGCTTTACAATTTAACTGAAAATTGATTTCTTCTCTCCGGAAAAATTTGCGCGAACTTCTTTTAGCACCCTAAATTGCATGGAGCCATTAGAAATTCGTTTGAGAGGGGTGAAATAGATGGTAGCTCTATCCAAGGTTAGGTTATATGTAGGTGCGGTAGATCTCCTCTTCACCTTATTGGAGGAAAAAAGTCAATATGCTCGCAGGCTATTCATGATTTGTTGTTTGTGAGCTAATTGAACTTTCTTGAGTCAGAAATATAGTTCCAGTATTTAAATTATCCAAATTAATCAAGCTTTCTTTTTCTTATGAGGAGAAGATTTTTTTGCAATTTCAAAACCCAACTAGTTGATTAGATTGAGTTTTCAACTTGAATGGCTGGCCCTCTGCCCCACACTTGAAAAGGTAGAATGAAAGAGAAATCCTCTGTTCCTCGTCTTCAAAATTTTTGAGTTGTTTAATTTAAGGATGTGGCCTCCATTTTGTGGCCTAAGTATATTTGGAGTTAATGGTATTCGTTTTAGAGTGATGTGACAATCTTTGATGATTCTCCTATATAGGTGTAGACATGTTTCGGGTGATTGTTGAAGTAGGTGTTAATTATCTACGTATATGACATGAAGTTCTTGAGTCTTCCATTTTCTTTTACTAAACTAATGTAAGTTATCATGTCCTTTTTAGTTGAAAGCCAGTGTTCTCAGCATTGAAGCAGAGCAGGTCCAAAAGGGCATTGTTGAAATGGTTGTCAAATATGGCATTAGGAGGCTTGTTATGGGGGCTGTACCTGAAAAGTAAGCGGTCCCTTAAATCACATTATTGTCCATGAAAGCAAATTGAGTTGTTACTTCATGTTTAAGTGATATTACTGAAGAGTTTATGGAGTTTTTCCAGTCGTATCGTTCTCAAATCTTTTGCTGGACAACCATGCTTAGTTTCCATATGAACCAAAACGACGGAAAGTCTTTCAGAAGAGTGATGCGTAGCATGTTGTGCACATTGTTGCTTGGATTGGTTGGTTGTTCCTCTAGACAAGGATCATCAATAGCGAGAAACATGGTTCAGATGCATGTTTTTAGAACCATATTTTCCTGGTTAACTCTCAAAAGATGGTGTTGACCCTAATTGACATGCATTGTATGATGTGCTTTCTCTTGTGAGTCGAGAACGTGACTACTTGATGTGTCCTTCTCTTGATATAGAAAACTGTGCCGATTGTTTATCCTAATCTCCTACCTCCTACATTGTCTTGATGTAGTTGTATGAAGGTTAAAAAGAGCTCCAGCAAAGCGAATTATGCTGCAAAAAATGCACCCGCTTTCTGCGAGATATCATTTGTCAACAAGGGTAAACGCATATGGACTAGAGATGCCTTTGAAGGCCCAATTCCCTTGGACTCATTAAGTCAACCACAAACATCTGCAGGAGTAATAAGTCGTGAACCATTGCAAGAAAGTTTGAGACTGTCAGTATCGGCGATCCCAGAAAGTCCTCGGTCCACATCTAGTTCGAGCGGTAGTTGCAGCAAAGTTACAGACTGGCTTCAAAAGGAATCAGTTTCTCCACAGGTGGCTTTAACTGGTTCTCCCAACAGATATCTTCCCCAACATACTGGCAGTTTGTTTAGTCCCACAAGTACTAGCAGTTGCTCCGGACGTACCTATTCTGAAAGAAGGGTTTCTTTAGATTCTGACATGGTCAATGAAGAGATATTGCATAATCATTTTACAGAATCATGGATACAAGTTGAGGCAATGAAGAAGAAAGCACTTCAGGAGTTAATGAAGCGCAAAAAGTTGGAAGCAGAAGCTATCAAAGTGATCAGCAAGGTGCTTATAACCTTCCTGACAACCTTTTTTTATTTTTTGGCCCCCTAATTAGCTGTCAGCTTTCATTTTCTCTGCTTTGATTATCATTAAGGATAACTATTTGGGGGATTATCTGGCTTGATTCAAGCCCAAAACATCATCCTTTTTGTGAATGGGGAAGCAGTGAAAGGAAAATGGAATAATTTCTGATATAAATTCGTATATTTGTGCAGATAAACATGCGGTGTTAAAAGTTTTTGGTTTTTGGTTTTTCCTCGGACAATTTTGTTCTATGAATGTTTTCACACACGTGGCCAGTAATTTTGGTCTTCATTTGTTTGGTGGTATTAGCATGCGTAAAACAACTTACTCTACTTATTGTATGCTGTATCTGATTTATCACATGAAGAGATGATGAGAAAAAATTCGGCCTGTTTTATTTAGGTGAAAGTAATTGAGTCTGCATATGCACATGAAGCTAAACTTAGAAATGAAGCTGAGGATGCATTAAGAACTGCGGTGCAGAAGCAAGAGAAGCTCTTGGAAGAAAGAGAAGAGATAGTTAGAAAGCTACAGAAGACTATGAGAAATGTTGCTCTTCTGGACAGTCGTGCTCAAGAAGCTAGCCGTAGGCGAGATGAAGCAGCTGGAGAGTTACATGTCATTGAAGCATCTATTGCCACCCTTAGGCAGGAAAAGCAGCAGATTCAGAGACACAAAGCGGAAGCTGTTAGTTGGCTTGAACGGTGGAAAGGGCATGGTAGAGCTGGAGCTGCAAGGTGTATTGAGTTTAATGGTGGTCTTAATGAAGATATGCCTGGTTTTGCTGAGTTTTCATTATCAGAAGTCCAATCTGCAACATGTGAGTTCTCTGAAAGTTTCAAAATTGGGCAGAGTGGACATGGTTGTGTATACAAGGGGGAAATGCTGGGTAGAACTGTTGCAATAAAAAAGCTGTATCCTCAGAACATGCAAGGGCAATTTGAGTTTCAACGAGAGGTAGGCATCTCTCTCTCTCTCTCTCTCTCTCTCTCTCTGCGCGCGCATGTTCTTGTGCATTTGCACGCACACAAGCACTCTCCTGTTGCGATATCTATGGTAATGAGATATTCTCATGTTTTAATTCTGCTGCCTTTTCTTTTTAAGTTTCCTCTTCAGTTTATGCATTTGGATCACCTATCATACTAGCTGTTGTTTCCTTCTTTGAAGTGCTTAATTGTTTATGTTTAGTACGGGAGTTCTTTTTACTAGCTAATCCAAATTTCAACTGTATCTCTGATCATGTTGTCTTAATTACTATTCTCATTGAAACTCAAAAGTGTCCGCTTCCTTTCAATTAATAAACCTCAATTTCTTGGTAACATTCTCAACTATGCCTGGATCTGTAACTATAGGTTTTTGTGCTTGATAAAACATTGCAACGCTTCAAGCATGTCTTTGCTTAATTATATGGAGTGCTCTAGTGTTTCAATTATTCTCAGAAGTCTGGCAATTTCAGTTACCTATACACTTTTACAGCTTTACTATGTGCAATGAACGAATTCTTTATCTTCTTTTATTTTGGGAGAGGGGGCACGGGGGGATGGGTGGTGGGTGGGGGGTGGGGGCGATGATATTAATCCAACTGTTATACCAAGCCTTTGGCACTTTAGGGGCATCCTTATGTACTCTCTGTCCTATCCTTTTTTTAATGCTCTTTAAAATGCTAACTTCACTTCTAAAGCTGTATGCATTCTTGGAGTTTTCATCACGCTTATTTGTCTCGTCTACCTTATCCATAGCTATACTGACTTAGGATATGCTTTGGTGTCTTTACTGGATTCATAACAGCCTTGTGTCATGTACCAGTTTACTCAAGTTTTGTTTGGATGATACAGGTTCAAGTTCTTAGTAAACTACAGCATCCACGTCTGGTTACCTTGCTTGGTGCATGCCCAGAAGCCTGGTCTCTTGTATATGAGTACCTCCCCAACGGAAGCCTCCAAGATTGCCTTTTCCGGAAAGGCAACAGTTCCCCCTTAATGTGGGATGCTCGAGTTCGAATCATTGCTGAGATCTCAAGTGCTCTTTGCTTCTTGCACTCTTCTAAACCTGAAAGGATTGTTCACGGTGATCTGAAACCTGAAAACATCCTTCTTGATTCTGATCTTAGCTGCAAAATATGTGATTTCAGGATTTCTAGGCTTATAGCAGGGGACACTCTTCGCTGCCCAAGTTTCCGCCGAATCACAGAGCCAAAGCGTGCTTTTCCTTATACAGATCCAGAGTTCTACAGGGATGGACACTTGACGCCCAAATCTGACGCTTACTCTTTTGGTATGATCATCCTACAGTTACTCACCGGTAGACCACCTACTGGGTTAGTCAGTGAGGTGCGTAAAGCAGTATCATTCAACAAATTGGAGTTGGTTTTGGATCAATCAGCTGGACAATGGCCGTCATTTGTGGCACAGCGATTAGTGGACCTGGGTCTTCAATGCTGTGATTCTAATGGTAGAAATCGGCCCAAATTAACACCTACGTTTGTGAGGGAATTGGAGCAGCTGCATACCTCTGAAGAGCGACCAGTGCCCTCGTTTTTCTTATGCCCCATCCTTCAGGTCAGTTATACTTTTCGGTGAATTGCTCAGTTTGTACCCAAGTCTTGTCAGACCATTCTCTTAAGATTTTGTCTTGTTTTTTGTTTAGGAGATCTGGGTTAATTTCACCATGGACCCATTCTTAGCATTTTTGTTTCCCATTTTTAGGGACCCATGTTGTTTTGGGCTTCAGGAATGGCATAGTTCAGCATATCTAGACACTAAGCAGCTTTAACTTTGTATTGACGTCACCATTTGCCTGAGCCTAATTTTTAATGGCATGATTTTCGTTTGGGAATCTCAAATTGAGATATTAACCTAGCATGTTTATTTTCTTTAGCAGAGCTTTGTTGTTCCCCACTGAAAAGTGTGAGCTTGAGATGTGCTAGTTGATCACGATCCTTTGCATGTCTTTCAGTGTCATGTTGTGGCTTACCTGTTCAATGGTTGCCTCCAGGAAATAATGCATGACCCTCAGATTGCGGCGGATGGTTTCACTTATGAAGGAGAAGCTTTGCGTGAATGGTGGGAGAGCGGCCACGATACGTCGCCAATGACCAACTTGAAGCTTAGTCATTTGCATCTTACTCCCAACCACACATTGCGGTCAGCAATTCAAGACTGGCTCTGCAAGCCATGAGATTTGATTAGATTTTACGTATGTTTGTATGTATTCTGTAATTATATAGATGACTGTATGTATTGAGCCTGAAGGGTCTTTGCCTTGCAGGCATATAAAATTAGTTGCAATTCATTATTCCATGCACTCTCTACGTCAGATAATGAAGCGTCACTTTTTTCCACGTGAATTAACTAGGAAAATGAACATCCGGTAAATATGCACCAACTATTGCAGTCTTCATCGGTAACTGGGTCGAGTTGATCTTAGATACATCTCCCGACAAACACTGACGTGAAGCCTGTAAAGTATTTTTAGTAATAAGGGTAGAATTGTAATTCATGTCTTAATAGAGTTTAGCCCGTGCGTGTATATAGATATTCACATGGTATCAGAGCTATTAAAAAAACTTAGTCGGAAGATCACTGTTCCGGTGACCCTAATTTCTACTATTCCGGTATCCAACCACCCGAGTTGCTCCTAGACACGTCGCCCAGCGTCGCTCCCAAACACATCACCCAGTCGAGTCGCTCCCAGCCACATCGCCCAGCCACGTCACCCCCAACCTCACGTCACCCATCCGCGGCGCCAACATTCTCAAGACCACATCGCCCTAGCTGCGTCTTCCAAGTCGCGAGTCCACCGTACAAATATGACCGCTGGACACACTTTGACTTTACTTTCACTTTGTTGAAGTCTCGATTTTTGCCCAACATCGCAGCCACGTTGAATGATATAAGAGGAGAATGTTTTGTAATGTTTCTCATTTGAAGGCTGATTCTAGTTATTTCTCGGTGGGAGTTGATTTTGGGGGTACTTTGATATTAATTATTACGATTTGCTATCAGTTGCATTTTGGAGGAGAAAGATGGAATCATATGTTCTAGGGAAGATGGAATCATATGTTCTAGGGTTGTGTATTGTTTCCATGATTTTACGAAGTCTCGGTGAACTACTATGATTAGTGGTGATTGGATTGAGCCCAATTCTTCTTCTTTTTTTATAAAAATTACCGTGCAGTTGATTGGATTACTGGAGTTACGTGTTGATTGCTGTGAAGTATATTTCCTTTGGGCTCGATCACATTCTTTGTTCACTGATGGCAAATACCGGATTGACTTCCGGATCTCCTTTTAGTCACTTTCAATTAACTTTTGTTAAGTTGGATGGAGCTAATTATCCATCCTGATCTAAAGCAGTTGAGGTCTATTTTACTGCAACCAAGCAACTTGACTATTTTACATCTACGGTACTATCTTACAAGAATAAAAATTATAAAAAAAAAAAAAAAAAAAAAAAAAAAAAAAAAAAAAAAAAAAAAAAAAAAAAAAAAAAAAAAAAAAAAAAAAAAAAAAAAAAAAAAAAAAAAAATTTTAAATTATAAAAAAAAAAAAAAAAAAAAAAAAAAAAAAAAAAAAAAAAAAAAAAAAAAAAAAAAAAAAAAAAAAAAAAAAAAAAAAAAAAAAAATTTTTAAAAATATTCAAAATATCCCCCCCACCCCCCCCCCCCCCCACCCCACCCCCCCCCCCCCAACCCCCCCCAAAACCCAAAAAAAAAAAAAAAAAAAAAAAAAAAAAACAAAAATGAAAAATCCGAAAATTCATAAAAATTTCTGAAATTGAAAATTATGAGATATGTAATGATCAGGACTCTTTTATAAAATAGCATGGACGCTAAGGTTCCTCACTTTTTTCAGTGTGCCTCTTCTAAGGCAGTCTAGTAGAAATTTAAAAGGTGCCCAAAACCAAAAATTTAAAACTTCACAGAATGACTTAGAATACTTGTGGCCACCCATTTTAAGTGAAATTTAAATTTTAGGTGCCAAAATTAAAAAAATTAAATTTTAAAAAATCATTCTGTGAAGTTTTGAAAATTTTTTGATTTTTTTGGCACTTCAAAAATTTAAACTTCACCCAAAGCAAGAACAATATGATGGGTATGTGACACATAGGAAGCGTTATTTGATATTCAATACGGAGATCAATCTTTGTCCAATTGTTTTTAGGATTTTCCAGATTTTCTAATTTTTATTTATTTCTAAAGAATGCGCCCGGTCACATGAAAAGAAATTTTGTGCCCTTTGCTAGCGATTGGATATTTTTCTTCCTACCTCGGATGATCCAGTTGTATTGGCCAAACGCCAAGAGGATCCGAGGGTGATATTATACCTCAAGTCATTGGGCTTGAATTTTCATCTCTTCGTCAACATATCACATCTCAGAGCTCTCTTAGTACAATAGATGAAGTCTTATGTCAGGCTCTCCGTTCTACAATTACTAAGAAGATTTCGTCCACACCAACTTTGGAGATGAGTGCTATGATTTCTCATGATCCTAGGGGACGTAGAGGTCATGATCGTGATTACCCAGGACGTGGACATGGTTTTGTTCATAGTGGAGGCTATGATGGAGAGGTACTCGTGGTGTCCTTAGTTCTAGAAATGGTTGTAGCTCATGTAATTGCAATCATTGTCAAAGAGCCGGACATACATAAGTTTTTTGCTATACTCTTCACCTGGAGCTTAGACCAAACTGCCTATGCAGGAGTTGAGAATTCTCTTGTTCCTCCCTCACCGGTTCCACCAAGTTCGACTACTGTGCAAAATAATTCAGTTACATTGACATGTATTGAGTATGATACATTAATTCGCTCTCAACAGATGACAAGATCTTCAGTTCCTACTACTACCTTGGCACAAACCTTCAAAGGCAGTTCATCTTGTTTGTTTTGTGCAGTGTCTGACTCCTGGGTTATAGACTTTGGAGCTTCCAATCACATGACTGTTAACTCTAACATATTGTCTTCATTTCGTTCTAGTTCTCCATCATTGTCAAACTCAGTCACATTAGCAAATGGCTCACAATCTCAGGTTATTGGTACGGGAGTCGCTCATTTGAGTCCCTTTCTTTCTTTGTCATTTGTCCATCCTCTATCACAATCTCCTTATAATTTAATTTATGTTAGCTCGTTAACTAAAGAATTGAATTGTTTTGTAACATTTTCCTCTTCTTGTTGTGTCTTTTAGGATTTGAGGACTGAATAGATGATTGGTGGGAGACATGAATTAAATGGTCTATCTTGACAAGAAGGTGTTAGCAGCTGTAGCTGCGAAGCGTACATCCACCGATATTGTGACACCCCAGAACGTCACACACGACACGTGTATTTTTCAATTATTACTTATAATTATTAAAGCACGCGGAAGCATATTAAAGCATTCACAAAATTCCCATACAAGTTAATAAAATACGTATACATCTTTTTATATACATTAACACCAGTTTTACAACACAACATTCAAACAAAAACAAAATACATAATTCTTGGGAAGGGTCAGGGACACCTAACTTCAACATTATACTCATATGCCCAAAAGCCTGCTTGTACATTGTTGGACTATCAACTAAGGGTTGACAGCTTCACCTGACAACGAGCCATCATCGCCAAAACCTGAAGGACCATCAAAGTCTCTAGGTGATCCAACCAGGTTGCCTTCGATGTTAACATACCAAGCAACATAACGATGGAGTATATACTCTGGTAACCCCACGTCGACCCATATAACGGAAGTACACTTAGTATAAACTACTGGTGATCCAGGTATTAGGGGTGAGCGGTTCCCGATCCGGTCCAGTCCCACCCAAGAACCGGGAACCGGACCGGGAGGACTGGTTCCCAGTTTCTAGGACCGAGGACCGGACCGGCTAGTCCTGGGACCGTGGACCGAACCGGACCCGGTCCGGGTCCGGTTCGGTTCTAATGGAACCAATCACTTATTCATTTATTAACCAAGGATATGAAATAATAACCTACTGCAATATGACAAAAGCGTTAATTATAGTGTTGCGGCAAAATCCAAGCTTGTTTCTTAATAGAATGTCTTAGGCAGAGCCTCAGAGGTGAGGGCGAGAGTGAATTGGGGAGAGCCTCAGTGATTAGGGTTTCTATTTGTTAATCTCAGAACATTGGACTGTCTTTTCTTTATGGGAAACAACGGGGACATTTGTCGCAAAGGTCAACTGGTAAAATGCTTTCTATTTTTTTCATAAATTTTAAAAAAGTAAATAAATATATATTTTCTGAGAAAAATAAATAAATATATATTTATCGGTCCGATCCAGTCCGGTCGGTCAGGTTCCCAACCTAGAACCGGGAACCGGTCCGCCCGGAAACCGGTTCCACTTTTAGGAACTGGGAACCGGACCGATACTCTCGGGAACCGGACCAAACCAACCAGTCCGGTCCGGTCCCGGTTCGGGCGGTCCATCATGCTCATCCCTACTAGGTATAATTATATCTTCATAACTATAATCGAAAAACATGGGAGCTCTAAAACGCGGTTGCAGTGAAGTATCCATCTTACATATTTGAAAAATAAGGAGTGAGCCGAGACCCAGTAATTGAAATCTCTAAGTTTAAGGTAAAAGATTCACTCATCACTCAATCTGGTACCAACAATAATTGTGAGTACAAGGCAGTACAAAATAATCATGCGTGATGAATACATGAATAAAGGCACTATCCTTCCAATCATGAAATGTCGATGGAACAACAATATGTTGCATAAAATCAATCACTCATATGCAAGCGGATGGTATATTATATATCACAAATATCACATAACATCTCATCGATTTACACATATGAGTTTATATTCGTCACTAGCCAAGACTATCTCGATTTACGAGGCATCTCGACTAACGATGCATCGCAACCACCAACTCATGGGGAACGGAAACAAACATACCCATTTGCCATGCCTCTTAGCCTATTCATCACGAGTGTCCTCTACATTAGCGAGGATAAATACACCACCGTACATCCGCATGCTGCTGGCTATTTTTTAGCATCATATCATGGCTACATGAGCCATGTCATCATAAAATTTCATGTCATTTCAACCTTGTAGAGGACCGTCTTATACGGTAAAACATCTGGCTAACTCCAGAGTCTCATATACATATTCGTATAAGGGAATTCGCTCGGTGGTGAATAAGCCGTGGCAAAGGTCTTAATTATGTAGCATTAAAGATATACACAATAAATTACATCACAGTAAATGCCACATATTTATGTAATTACAAATGGAAATAACTGCACGTTAATCTCTTGGCATTTCACATAATGTATAAGACAATTGAT